TAATTCCCCACTCATAATGTAATTTGCATGTACTATTCCCATATGTGCAAATTAACTCTTCACTGTGAACATAGGCAACTTGGCATTCCACACTCAACCGGCTTAAGGGCAGACTAGCAGTCCCACGGAGTTGATGTTCCTAAGAGCACCCCTCAGCCTATGCTGGTGGATAACACCTGGTGTGGGGGTGAGTGAGAAAGATCCCAGTAGAATAGCCTTTCTCCTCCCCACTCCTTCTTCCTCCACCCATGAAGGCTACTCTTTATTCAAGAGAGACATGAAATTGGGGCAGAAGTGTGCTAAGAAATATTTAACAACTGGATTTCCAAAAAATACATATTCATGATAAATTTTACTGATATAAAGTATGTGTAGCACACTGTTGAGCACCCAAATCTGTCGCTATTCGGGTTGCCACTACGTAACCCTCATGGACCTAGGGGGACTGAACAAAGTGGGGCCAACGTGGGAATAAAAGACAAGAGACAAAAGAGTATATTTGGAAGAAGGGGTTGGGGGCACCTTGCCTCTAGTGGACAAGGACCCTGAGCTTTACACAACCCTCCGTATTTATTAGGCAAAAGAGGTAGCGAGAAGTGGGGTGGAAGAAGAGGTCAGCTGCTTGTTCCAGAGTAGGCTTGCAAGACTGCATTCTCTAGATGTCCCAGTAGATAACTTCAAGGAGCTCGGCGCCAGGAAGCGATTGCCCTCAGCAAACCTTCTGGCAGCGGGAGTAGTCGTGAGTTTGCCCACATCCTGCATTCATGATAAACAGTTTGCTGTTTGATCATATAGCCTCCAGTGGAATGCTGAGTTGGTCACATCCCATGGGCCTTCGTCTCCCTGCAGCACATAACTTTTAAAGAATAATAAAATGTACTATACTTTTTATTGTAAATTCCACATAGTCAACTGATTCTTACAGAATGCTTTCAGTGATTTTTCTGAACTTTTGCAACTTTAGCTAACTTATAATGGCAATTGATGAACAGTACACTGTGTAGTTATGAATGTTGGTTGATATTTTCATTTACTTTAAGGAGTAAGATGAAACAGAAATAATGAGATGTATGGTGGGATTTTATTATTCTGTCAATGACAGGAGTAAACTCTTTGCTGAATCAGATAAGAGGTTTGGAATATCTACATTAGAAGAATATTTCCTGAATTTTTGTGCTATTTACAATGTAACGACTGCAGATATTAACATTCTCTAAGTTGCATTATTAACATTTTATCCATCACTATATCAAGTGTAGACAATCAATAAAATGATAAATGAAGACTTGATGGATGGTATTTGCCAATTTCTGCAGTGTAAACACTTCTATCATGACTGACTTCAAGCTACAAATGTGAGTTGTGTAAAAATATAATTTCTGATTATTTCCTTAGAAGATATTTTTAGCAGAAACTGGATCACCTTTTCAAGGCAAAGTAATATGTTTGCAAGACAATGATGAGTATTTACAAACTGCTTTCAAAAATGGCTGTAACAGGCCATGCACAGTGGCTCACACCTGTAATCCTAGCACTTTGGGAGGCCGAGATGGAAGGATTGCTTGAGGCCAGGAGTTTGAGAAAATGGCTGAAACAGTGTCCATTTCCCCAGTCTTGAATGAGAGTAACCATTGCCTCTCTAGCTTCAGGAATTATTAATTTTTCCAGTTTTGTTAATCGGCAGTTTGGATAGTCATTCCAGACACCAGAATAAAGGAGATCACATCCCTGATTAAAACCTGTCAGTGACCTTCATTCCTCCAGGCAAAGCCCTCAACCATTTTCCCACATAAACCCTAAACAGACTAAGAATCTCACTTTCATAGACTTGCCCAAAGTTTGTCTTCAGGCCACATGCAATTTCCAAGGGCTCCTCTTCCTCTGCTTCTGAGGAAGGTGCAATATCAGAATATGAATGAATGAGAATGATATTCTTAGAAACTTAATATTGGATCCATTTGAACAGATCAATAATTGAACTTTGGGAAAACTTCAGCACATTTCCTTAGCATCCAATTTCTTGTGATGCAAATCACAACTGTTAATTTGCATTTTGTTTTCTAATCCTATATCTCAGAATGATGAAGCCTTTTTTTTTTTACCAGACATCTTAGAATAGGTTTGCTTAAAATGAGATATATGAAAGAAAAGGGTCATTTTAGTCAGTGGGTGAGCATTTATCCTTAGCTATAAATGAAGGTGATAAACAGTTTCATTTCTGTATATAGAATGTTCTGTTCAACACTGTATTTTGGGGGTGAAGTTTCTTTTAATGTTCTTGGTTGTTTACTTTCTTTGATTTCCAGGAAAAAAAAAAAAACAGGCACAATTGGTATCAGAGATTTTGAGTGCAGGCATCTTGTTGAGATCATTATTTAACAAGGCGTTGAGTCATGCAGGCAGTAGATTGGTTTGAAGTTGGTCAGGATGAGAGTTCTTGGTATAGTCTAAAGTGAAGTATTTGAAATTCTGAAGTCCTCATAAGTTGCAATCAGTTGTCTTTATTTTTTGAAGCACTTTAATTTTGAAGCACTTTAAGTTTCAAGAACCAGAATTGTTTTTCTTTTTCTTTTTTGACTTTCATCTACACAAGATTTTTTGTCTTTATTTTTTGAAGCATTTTAATTTTGAAGCACTTTATTTAAGTTTCAAGAGACAGAATTCTTTCTTTTTCTTCTTCTTTTTTGACTTTTATCTACACAACATATATGAAGATTCATAGAAAGTTTTGTCTGTCTTCTTGAGGAATAGCCAACTCCAATCTTTAAAAACTGTTCTAGAATGTCCTAATCAAATTTTTTAACTTCTAAAGATTAGATGAAATAAAAAAGCAACCATAGACTGGAAGAAAAATGTTTGTGATATGCATATCTCTCAAAGACTTATTTTTAGAATATATAAAAAATTCTCACAACACGATAATTTTGAAACACAATGAAAAATGGGTGGAAGATTTGAGGAGGTGCTTCAGCAAAGAGGACAAATGAGTGGACATTCAGCACTTGAAAAAATGCTTGATCTGAGAAATGCAAATTAAAATTACTGAAAGATACCACTATGAGATACTCACTAAAACATATGAAATTAAAAAGACTAATAATACTAAGTATTGATAAGGCAGTGGAGCAACTAGAATTATCATGCATATGATAAAAGATATATATTAAAACCTATACCAACTTACACCATAAATAAGGAAAATTGAGGAGCATTCTCATTTGAATCAGCAACAAGAAAAGGATGCCCACCGTCACCATTATTACTTGACATTATTAAAGAGGTTATAGCCAACAAGGTAAAACCAGAAAAATAAGCAAGAAATGTAAAAATTAGAAACTGAGAAATATTTCCGGTATTTGTAGATGATGTTCAAGTTCCCATAGATTTTAACATCATAATCTAATAATAGAGATGAGACCCATAACTTTTGCCATATTCTGTTGGTAAGAAGCAAATCTTATGTTCTGTTTGCACTCAAAGGGATGGATTTATACAAGGTGTGACTCAGTAGGGGTCACCTTAGGGTATGCCTGCCCCACTAAGAGTATTAGGAGCAGTTACCCTTCTTCCTACAGACATACAGATGTCCCAGTAGAGGGACTCCTTCATTTGCCCTGAATATATACATGCTGGGCTATTGTATTTAAAGTTTCCTACTTCTATCTCAATTTTCACTCTCTGCATTTTCCTTTTTTAAAAATAAAATGTATCAAAGCCGTAGGGTAAAACCTATGACACAGTAAAGAATAGTCTCAGATTTGTAAGTGGAGAAAATTCAAAAGTTCTAAATCCGGGGAATTTTTTAGTAACTTAAGTATAATGTCACACTTTCTCACACAGTAAAGAGAAGGGTTTTTATTGCTTTTACACTATTTGCTTACAGTAAATATATAATTGATTTTTAAAAATAAAAGCAGGTTTCATGCTTCATGTAACAAAGTCAGGTTCAGATACTAACTGTGAAAACTGAACTATTCCTGGGGAACCATGTTCAAAAACATGCTTCATTGGCTAAACAGTCTTATTTTATTATTCCAATTGACAAAAAATGAGGTATAAAGTAATTAAATGCAATATGGTGGCTTTAAGTGTAGAGAAGGGGTGGCAGAAGCTGTGGACACAGAATGTAAAATCGGTAACTACAAAATGGCAGAAACAGCTAAAGCAATATATTTAAATTATTATCTTTTTAAAAAGAAGGATCATTTCAGATCTTCACCTTCAGATCCTCACTCAGCCCTCCCTCCTATTTCCTACTAATCAGGCTTTTTTTTTTTTTTTTAATTTTATGATTGCTATCTCCCACCTTCTAGAATATATTTTTGTTTATTTGATTGAACAGCCTCTTCCTGAAAATTCTGCCCAGCTGGACTGGCTGACATTGTTCTCAGTAATTGTGTTTTTTTCCTTTAACTTGATTGCATTTTTTTCATTCTCCTCTCTTTAAATGAAGTGTCCCAAGAGCCCTAAATTCTCTCTTCAGGTGGTCTCTTGGTAGGTAACTTCATCAATAGGTTCATCCAGGTATAGAGAGCAGTGGTGTAAGGATAACAAAGATACAATTTCTCAGAAAGATAACATTTTAAAAAGTGCTATTAAAGACAGTGAGTTGTTTAGCAATTCAGGAAAAAAAAAATCAGAGGCGAAAATATAGAGTAAAAGTATTTTTCAGAATACAGAATGTCAGTTTCTTCTAGAAATATATATACACAGTATTGAATAGGTCCCCCGCCAATGTGGGACCCAGGGCTTTTACTCTGTGACATTCCATTTGCCCTTCTTGGCTGTACGGAATAAAAGCCCTTTGACGATGGCGGCCTCCCATATATCCTAATCCGTATGGGTGCGGCCATGCCGTCCTCCCGACGAAGTTTCTGAAGTTGAATGAACCGCGGAATAAAGGTACGCCGTTTTACGCCATGATGACTGTTGGCAGAGCGTAGCTTCAAAAGTGTTAGTGGGCATGCGCGCGGTTCAGTTCGCCCGCAGAAATCCTAACGGGAATGTAACCCAAACCGGAAGTGGCCTAGAGCGGCCATTTCGCTTCTGTTGTTAAGTGGCTCTAAGCCTGTGCGGCTTACGGGATGCTGAAGTGATTGGGAATATTAGCAGTGGGGGTTCTGTAGGGTCAGGGAGGGGAAGCCAGCTTTGGGTGAGTGATGAGGGGCTTGTTGCGAGGGGGCGGTGCGTGATAAAGGGATTTCTCGGCTGAAGACCGGGCTGTGAGGTAAGTGACAGGCCTGTTTTGGCTGAGCGATGGGGGGTTTCTGGGGTGGGTGAGGGGTGTTGTGGGGTAAGTGGTTTTTGCTAATTTTAGTTGGATAATTAGCTGGTTAATTTTCCCGCTTTTCTTGCTTATTTTCTGCTTGTAATAAGTATTTTTGTGACTTAAATTACAAGTGTATTTTAATACCGGATTTTATATTGGTCCACGAAACTTGCTAACTTGAGGACAGCGAACGTGCGTCTTAAGAGCGCCTTTGCAGATGGTGCTGGAGGACGTTCAGGGAAGGGATTCACTCTCCGTGGGACTCGAGAAGTCAGTGATTGATTGGCAGCCAAGAGCTTCAGAGGTTGGAGGCCTTTGAGGATCACATTGTAACACTCTCAGGGGACCAGTGATGGGCGACCTATAGTAATCAGTAGAGTGGGGTTGCCAGTAGTAGCCTATGGCAGCCAGTTGACTGGAGGCATAGGGGGTTAATGATGGGGATTTGTGAGGGTGACTGCATTGCTTTCTAGGCAGTGAGTGTTGGGGTCCTTCAGGGATTGGTGGGTGGGGCAGTGTTGGCCTCTTCTTGGGTTCCTTCGATATGGTAAGGATCGGTAATTGACGGTTGAGCAGATCGACGATGGTCTCCTATTGGAGCATTTCATTTGGACCCCTATGTTGGAGATTATTTGTCGTTTTATGGAAACCAGAAAATTGTACTCGCTGGGAAACATTTCTTGGCTATCAGGGCAGTAATGATTTCAGAAGCCTGGACCATGTCAGTGACTGGGAGGCATTATGGAACTTTCTGGCAGCCCTGTAGTCCACTCATTGGGGATTTCTGAAAATCAGTGCTGTCAGTGATTGCATTCAGGTGCGGTGGGGGCAACTTATTGTGGACAGGCAAGAAATGGTAACTGGAGGCCCTGATGCATGTCTGCAAATGTTCTGCATCAAGGTGGGGATTGGGACAGTGATTTTAAGTTTTAGCTCTAGTCAGAAGAGGCTGGTCTGTGTGGTGTGTTACGGATGGGGACTGAAAAGTCCAGAAGCTCAGAATAGGTACACCAGACAAAGCCACCTCCCAGCCTGAGCTCTATGAAGGCAACAGGAAGAGGAAATGGTGTTTCCGGAAGCTGGCCATGTAAGGGTGCATGAGATAGTGGGGACAGTGTACAGTTTAGAACAAGGCAGATGTGGGCTGATTCCGTTTTTCCATTTACAGACTGAGTAATCTTCAGGCAAATTATGTAACAGCCTCATTATCCTCATCCCCAAAATGGGTGTAATAATGCCCATGATATTTAGCTGACAATTAAATTGACAAATTTCTCTTTTTTATTCATATTTATCACTTGCCAGGCAGGCACTGAGGACTCGACAAGCTTCATCTTGCTTGAGTTTCCCAACACCTGTGATAAATACCTGCATTTTCATTTTGGAAACTATAACTAAAGTAATATTTTCACATTCTCTCAGTGAAAAGTTGGCAAAGCTACAATGAATTCATCATTTAGTCCAGACTCAGTCTTTATTTTTAACCCTGACTAATAACTAGAGTTGGGCTTTCTGAACTTTGCCTACTCCAGGGTCTGACACAGTGACTTCACCTCAGTGCCCTCAGGAAATATTTGTGGAGTGAATGTTGAATGAGTGACCATGTACTCATTGCTTTTCTGAGGCTTCTGCAGAATCCCCGGGTCAGGCCACCTCATTGAGGCTGCAGGATCTCTCTTCATAGCCCAGCACGCCTCTCCACAGTGTCCCTGGTTGGAGAATCCAAACACCTATCCAGCTTCTGGCTCCTGGGAAAAGTGGAGTTGTCAGCAAGAGAGACCGAGAGTAGAAGTCCAGAGCAGAGATGCCTGCTGACGTGAATTTATCCCAGAAGCCTCAGGTCCTGGGTCCAGAGGAGCAGGATGGATCTTGCGAGGTAAGCAGGGGCAGCCCTGGGGACAGTTCTCCAGAACGTGAGGGCAGACACAGGATGCAGCAGGCTCTGGGCTCCCTGCTCCTGAGTCAGTCTTGAGCCTCCTGTCAAGCGAGGACCACAAAGGCTGATGTTTCCACATTCATAGGCTATCTGTGTTCTAGAGGAAACCATGAATTGGCTAATAAAAGAGGATAGTAGAGGGTTGGCCTTGGGTCAAGAAAGAAGAAACTGTAGTCCCTGGTCTGATCAGAAGCCCCAGTCATAGGATGGAAAAGCTGACGCTTTCCCTCTAAGCACTTGTTCCGCTCCTTCATCCACCATTGGGTCTTTGAAGAATTTCAAGTGGTCCCCACCCAAATTCCTTGCTTGGTCCATGGGGATTGGCCCGTTTTTCCTCTGTTCTCATAAGGTGCAGAAAAATCTTCCTTTGTAGTTTAAATAGTCACAGGGAGGTAGAGCGAGAACAGGCTTTTAAGGACCATGTTGATTTTCCTGTTTAAAAAGGTGAATAAAAAATGCTGGAAAATAGTGTCTCGAGATTGCCCACAGATAGTCAGGATTTAGTAACAAGAAATAGTCAGGATTTAGTAACAAGAAATCAGAATTCTTGGTATAGTCAAGATTTCCTGAAATCCTAAATTATTCTGTGTATCTCTTGATGCTTTATTTACAAGTCTTTAAATAGCATATGACTATAGTAGTAAATAGTGCACCATTGTTCTGTGATAGGTTTATACCCAAATTTACAGAGATGTTGTTTTTTAAAAAAGTATAATAAATATGTGTGTTATTATCCTGAACCAGTGTATCGTGAGAAGATTATATATTTCAGTAACCTGTTAAAATCATCTCAACCTGCTAGAAACATTTGATAATAGAAAGTATTAAAAGAAGGGAACATTAACACAAAACAAATTGCACATATAAATCATTTTCTAAATTGTAAATACCCCAAATATTTAAAAGTCATTCTTAAAAGAAAAATTGAAACATGCAAGTTTAGGTGGGGTACGGTGGCTCACACCTGTAATCCCAGCACTTTGGGAGGCCAAGGCGGGCAGATCACTTGAGCCCAGGAGTTGGAGACCAGCCTGGGCAACACGGTGAGACTCTACAAAAATGCAAAAATTAGCCAGGTGTGGTGGCATGCACCTGTAGTCCCAGCTACTCAGAAAGCTGACGTGGGAGGATCACCTGAGCTTGGGGAGGTCCAGGTTGCAGTGAGCTGCAATCATGACACTACACTCCAGCCCGGACAGCAGAGTGAGACCCTGTCTCAAAACAAAACCAAAAAAACCCGTTTAAAACATGAAATTGTCTAAGTCTTTGTGACAGCAGTACAAATGCACAAACGTTTCTCTCATTTGCATTGATGTTGGTCAACCTGTATGTTCAGAACCTCTTCAAGTTTAGTGTTTTAGGACACATGTTCAATATAAGCTTTTTTCCTTTTTTAACAATGAATTTTTTTTTCCTGCTTGACCTGATTTCTAGTTTGTCATTTAAATCAATACTGCTGTCGCTAATTCAGATTTTCCATCAGTGTCTGAATTCATGTCAGAATATATCCCAGTACCATTCATGTTGTCTTCTCTTTGTGGTGTGTATTTCCCTCTGCTCTGGACAGTACTATTTTTATGTTGTTGTTTTTATCTTTTCTAATTTGATGGAAATGAAGATACTATAGTGTTTTAATTTGCATTACTTTGTTTACAAACAGCATTTTTTTTCATAATTTTATTGGTCAGTTGTCTTTAGTGAGTTACTTTTTCTCACCTTTTGATTTATATTTTGGTTTGGATTTTTGGAGAGTTCTCTTTTTTTTTTTTTTTTTTTTTTTTTTTGAGATGGAATCTTGCTCTGAAGCCCAGGCTGGAGTGCAGTGGCACAATCTCTGCTCACTGCAGGTTCCACCTCCTGGGTTCATGCCATTCTCCTGCCTCAGCCTCCCAAGTAGCTGGGACTACAGGTGCCCACCACCACCCCCGGCTAATTTTTTTGTATTTTTAATAGAGACGAGGTTTCCTCGTGTTAGCCAAGATGGTCTTGATCTCCTGACCTTGTGATCTGCCCACCTCAGCGTCCCAAGAGAGTTCTTACATAGTAATAACCTAGGGTCCTTTTTGCATGTTTGTAAATACTTTTTGTTACTTTTTCCTTTGAAAGTAGGTTTTAGTTTTATTTGAACATAGAAAAGAGGATCAGATGGTTTTGTGAAGCCTGTAATCTTTTAAAAGAGCTGTCACTTGCTGTATTTTTACCCAAGTTCCAGCTCCTCCCAGGCAATCACATTTTACATTTTTAGCTAATTATTTCGGCATTTACCTCCTAATCTTTTAGTGACATGCCTATATTGCTGCCTCTTGGATTGTTAATTAACATGTTAATTAATTAAGAAACATGTCATTAAAAGGTTTGCTTTTACCCACTTCCTCATACTTTCATCCCCAACACCTGCTTTCCTTGCCCATCCTCCTCTAAGAACTGGTTCAGATTCTGATCAGGTCAATATTCCTTGTTTATTATTATGACTGTGTGAATCTATATTCAGAGCTGCCTGTACAGACTGTGATAATTCGTTGCCTGCATAACTTAAGGTTTTTCCCTGGAGCACACAATTTTATGGATTATTTACTTGCCTATATACATGTTAATGTATTATACAATTTTCTCCAAGTGTGTACACACTCTCTTCATAAATTGAATTTGTTACTAGGTAATGGCAGCAGACACTCGCTATTTCAGGGACAGTTTTGTGTGTGTGTGTGTGTGTGTGTGTGTATGTTTTTTTTGAGACAGAGTTTCGCTCTTGTCTCCCAGGCTGGAGTGCAATGGCGTGATCTCAGCTCACTGCAACCTCCACCTCCCGGGTTCAAGCGATTCTCCTGCCTCACTCTCCCGAGTAGCTGTTACATCATATTAGGTGCACTTTAGTATCTGGTTATCTCTCTCCTTGTGATAAAATTGATGATTGGGTTCAGATATTGTCAGCCCACTCCTCCATTATAAAGACCCCATCAGTCTTTCATATGGTTTTAGCAGTCATTGGTGATCAGTAAAAGTGATATTTTTGTTTTGTCCTTCAGGCTGCATTTATCATCTGTGATACTTCTGTAATGAAGATCTTTCCATCATCAGTCCTTTCATGAACCTAATATTGGTTCTTATGGGAAAGATCATCTTGTTGAAATATTATATGATCATATATCTTCGCTGCACTTAAAATCCTGAAATGGCAATCCATTCATTAAAATAAATAATCCGTACCCATTATATATTCAGACAACAGCCCAGTTCCTTGGAGCTTGGATGGTAACCACTTTCCAAACATGACACAGTCGCCTCTTACCTCACACAGAGGTGTCTGCTTCTCCCTGAATTCACAGTATTTTCCTACCTCTCTACTTTTATTCATGCTCTTTTCTGGAAAATGATTTCCTTCGCACATCCTGCATCAGAGTTCTTACTTCCAGTGTAAGCTGCGCCAACTCTAAGTAGCATTACCTTCTACTGCTAGGTAGAATTTGCCTTTCCCTAATTTGCCCCTCCCCAACGGTGTCCTCTCATATATTTCTACCATGTTCCCTTTTTAACCCCATAGTTGAGCTTTTGTATTCACACGTCTTCCAAGTCTCTGAATTACTGCAAGAGTAGAAGCTTATGTAATTCTATGTTGAGCACCAGGACCCAGCTTAAGTACAGCTTCACATGTAGTTGCTTCATCAACATCATGCTGGTTATTCCTAAATTAGCTAGAGGACTTAGAGGGAACCCATTTCTGGCCTCATTTTTGGAAAAAAAAAAAAAAAAAGAATCAATGTAGGTGTACAGTGGATGGAGGATATTTCTCTAATTTTTTTAACTCCCTAAAAATGTGAAATAGGTGTTTGGTGGGAAGCCTCTGTGATGGATCATGGTGGAAATCATTAAAGGCATGTTCCTCCTATGTGTGCCATCCCCACTCACCAATGATGACCTAATTCACAGTGAGCTGGGGTACACTGTTACAGGCATCACTGTCGTTTGAGGACGTGACCGTGGACTTCAGCAGGGAGGAGTGGCAGCAACTGGACCCTGCCCAGAGACGCCTGTACCAGGATGTGACGTTGGAGCTCTATAGCCACCTCTTCTCAGTGGGTGAGCACAACTGACCTGGGAATCTTGGCTGGATCCTGTTGAGGAGATTTCCTTCCTCCTCGTTGCAGGACGCAGTGGGATATCAAAGTATGTCATGACTCTTTCCTTGGTTTGCCCTGGATTGTTTGTTTCTTTTGGGCATCTTTTAGTATTACTTTGTGCCCATGTTGACTTTTCTAATGAGCCAGTGTAAAGCTTCACTGAATGGCCTCTAAAACTGAAGAAGCTACACCCAAATCCAGTATCCTTTCTAATTAACAGGGTATCACATTCCCAACCCAGACGTCATCTTCAGAATGCTAAAAGAAAAGGAGCCATGTGTGGAGGAGGCTGAACTCTCACATCAGAGGTGTCAAGGTGAGTAAATTGTACCCAGGCAAATGTAGATATCTTTGCAGGGAACCACTACCAGTCTACCATACTACTCCATTCCCTCCATTCCCCCAGTGATGGCCCGTAGGTTGCCTCCTACTCCCAGTTTCTACATCAAACACTGTAAATATTCTATAAATTCTGAATGTCCTATAGGGGCTGCCTTAAGAATTTCCCAGTGGTGAATACTCAGGAATGGGATTGCCTGGTCCTGGAGATAAGTATACTTGACTAAGTCAACCATATTGCTCTTCTGATGGGCTGATGGGCTGCACCAGTTCACGCTCCCATGTGCAGTGCACAAGGATTTGCATTTGCACATCTTGCTTGCTAACACTTGGCATTAACAAAATTGGTGAATTTATAGCCCTACTGATGGGTGAAAGGGCTGTTTTATTGGTTTTTGGTTTTGGTTTTGGTTTTTTTGAGACAGAGTCTCGCTCTGTCACCTAGGCTGGAGTGCAGTGGCGTGATCTTGGCTCACTGCAACCTCTGCCTCCTGGGTTCAAGCGATTCTCCTGCCTCAGCCTCCTGAGTAGCTGGGACTACAGGCGTCTGCCACCACACTCAGCTAATTTTTTGTATTTTTAGTAGAGACAGGGTTTCACCGTGTTAGCCAGGATGGTCTCCATCTCCTGACCTCATGATCCGCCTCCCAAAGTGCTGGAATTACAGGCGTGAGCCACCACGCCCAGCCTGTTTCATTGTTGAAGTGTTCTTTTTCTAATAACTGAATGAGAGCCTCTCATCTTATCTGTTATCTGATTGGCGTTTTCATTTGTTCATTGCATTTTCTTACCATTTATCTATTTGTGTCCATGGAGTTTTCTGCCTTTTTTTTTTTTTTCTATTTTTTTGCCCCTAATTTTATTGATTTTCCATCAGAAAATCAATATTGGTCTTCTTTTCCTCCCAATTGTGACACCTCTAGCTTGCAGCCCCGTTCTTCCATATGGGCCCCTCCCCTCCCCTCCCCCCTCCCTTCCCCTCCCCCTCCCTCCCCCCTCCCTCCCTCCCCCCTCCCCCTCCCCCTCCCTTCCCCTCCCCTCCCCTCCCCCTCCCTTCCCCTCCCCCTCCCCCCTCCCCCTCCCTCCCCTCCCCTCCCCTCCCCTCCCCTCGACAGAGTTTCACTCTTGTTGCCCAGGCTCGAGTGCAATGGCACAGTCTTGGCTCACTGCAACCTCCACCTCCTGGGTTTGAGTGATTCTCCTGCCTCAGCTTGCTGAGTAGCTGGGATTACAGGCATGCACCACTATGCCTGACTAATTTTGTATTTCTAGTAGAGACGAGGTTTCTGCTTATTGGTCAGGCTGGTCTCGAACTCCCAACCTCAGGTGTTCCACCTGCCTTGGCCTCCCGAAGTGCTGGGATTCCAGGCGTGAGCCACCGTGCCTGGCTATGGGCATCTTTTCATACAGGAATTGACTTAAAGGACCTATCCATTCTGAACTCTCAGTCCTCATATTTTTATTCTAATGATTTCTATGTCAGTACCTCTAGTCTCTGTGCTTAAACTATGTTCTGCTACTTATTTAGCTCCATGGAGGACAGTTCCCATGAGATGACTCACTTTCTTAATTTTGGGAGATCAGAAATTGGAATCATCATCATCCAAGTAAGAAATTCTTACCTGACAAATTTTGTCAGATTTTTCTGTGTTTCTGGGCTCAGAAACACAGTCCTCTAATTTATTATTTTGGAATTCTTACCAGTTTTTTTTTTCTTTTTATTAAGAAGAAGGTGACCCTTTTTCTTAAGCCCAGTGGTATTACAACAAACTAGATCCCCATTTTCTCATATTTAGACAATGTTGTTCCTAATGATTTCAGTTTTTTGAGTTCAGTCAAGATACTGACAGATTTTATTACCCCCAAACATGGCTATTTTCTTTTTTCCTCAGTAGATATGATAAAAACATGCAGTTATTTCCTACTGTGTAGGATTAACAAACTCTTTTCAGTGACATTGTCCTCATGGCCATGTATTTCCAATGTAAAAAATATACCTGAAGAGTTTTCATCACTCATGCTCTGCTCCATTGTTTTTGTATGTTGTTTAATGTTTTCTCCATAGACTGTATCACTTTGCATACAGTCCACTGATTACTTTGTACTTTGTTTACTTAATCTTCATTATGTCAGTGTTCCGCATGAGGAAACCATTGTATTTAAGATACAGGATTAGGATTTTTGTATTTAGGATACAGAAATCATTGATTTTCCGAAAATGGTCAGGAAAGAATATTTCACACTATTTTAAAAGGATGCTTTAAATATTTGCTGAGATAAATTCAAAAGAACAGATTGTGTTTGGATGGAGAAGACAATGGCATTAAATGTTAAAAGCATTAGCCTCTGTGCATCAATCATGTCTATTTCATGAAAAGTTACTCAAAAAGTAAGTGTATCAACACGGGAAGCATGGATAGTAAATGCTTGTGAAGTTCAGAAAAAGTGTTGTCAGCCTAGAGGTGGAGTGACATTGGGAATTAATTTTAAGGACACAGTACCTGTAACTGGTCCACAAAGCCATTTTGAATTGAAACAAAGAAGCAGATGAAGCAGGCTAAATGGGAACAGAGGACATGAGAGTGTGCTTGGATTTGAGAATAAATTGGACTTCTTTTTTGCAATCAGCATTGTTAGGCTGCATTGGAGAGTTGTGGAAGAGCTTTTCCGTACAGTTCTGATAGTTTACATTGAACATTTTGGGCAGTAATTTAAGTGTTACCAGGTTCAGCAAGATTTTTATGACCTGAATAAAGTGAGAAGTTAAAAAGGTTTCAAATCTCTGCCTGGGGACACAGAGGAAGACTGCCAGAATAAATGACCACCCATATATGGGTAAAATTGCTATTTAAGAGTAAAAAATGAAATAGAAAACAAATAACCTGTTTTAATAAGTGGGAAAAGGAGGTGAATAGACATTTCTTCAAAGATGATATACAAGTGGCCAATAACAGGAAAAAATGTTCAACCTCACTAATTATGTGGGAAATGCAAATGAAAACCACTGTGTGATATCCCTTTACATCCATTAGAATGGCTACTAGTAAAAAAACAGAATAACAAGTGTTGGCAAGGATATAGAGAAACTGGAATCTTGTGTATTGCTAGTGGGAATGTAACACGGTGTAGTCCTGTGGAAAACAGGATGGTGATTTCTCAAAAATTAAACATAAAATTACTATATGATCCAGCAACTCCACTTCTGGGTAGATACCCAAAAGAATTGAAAGCAAGAACCCAAAGAGCTGTTTGTACACTCTTGTTCATCGCAGCACTATTCACAATATCCAAAAAGTGGAATTGTCCATTGGCCAATGAATTGGTAAACAAAATGTGGTCTATACATACGATGAAATAATATTCAACCTTAAAAAGGAAGAGGAATTATGAAACATGTTGCAGTGTGAATGAATCTTATCATGATGCTGAGTGAAATAAGCCAGACACAAAAAATCCAAATGTATCATTCTACCTATATGAGGTACCCTGAGTTCTCAATTCATAGAGACAGAATAAGATTGTGGCTGCCAGAGCATGAGGGACAGGGGGAAAAGGGAAATTGTTTAATGGGTACAGCATTTCAGTTTTGCAAGATGTAAAAGTTTTGGAGATCCATTGTACAACAGGGTGAATACAGGTAGCACTACTGAACTGTATAATACAAAATGGGTAAGATGGCAAATTTAATATTATGCACTTCTGCTACAATAAGAAAAAGTTAACAATAAAGATTAAGTGTCCTTTTTTTAAAAAAAAAAGAATGAAAGATGATTGAGTTTTTTTGACAGGACAAGAGTCTGGGATACAGTTTGAGTGACTGAAAGCGAAAAGAAACTACATGTGATGGTCATACTCAGTATTACAATCTGGTAGAAAAAGTAATAGTCAAATTTAGTAACTATTATTTTTATTGAGAACCTGCTGTGTTTTGTGCACTATACTAGTAAAGTGCACAAGATGATCAGGGACTCTTATTCTTGGCAAAAAACAAAACAAAAAACTAAACTAAAAAAAGGCATATTTGATAGCATAAAGCCAAAAATTCTAACAGAGAAGAATTAATTTCAATGGAACAAGGGTGAAACAAATTCTGGGGAACAGCTTGCTTACCCAGTCTTTTAGAATATCTTTCTGGGGATATGGGTATATTCCTAAGTTCAAGAAGAAGAAAAAAATGTAGCTTCATGGAGAGTTGGGGCATAGTCATTTTTTCACTGGTTGGCCATGTCAAGATAGGTGAAGCTTTAATAGTTTTCAGAAGGATGTACAGGGACGATGTACTTGGCATTGTTTCTAACAAGTAAGATAAAGCAGGCAGATTGGTGAGGATTCATCTCTGAAAGTTAACGAAGACCTACACACTGAGTCCCCTCCTTCAAGCCTTGGCTGTCCACAGATGTTGCCCTACAACGCTCTTGTCTGTTTTATCCCCTACTCATCCTACTAGATCTGGGTGTCCAGACCACTTGCATAAGTGGCCTCAGGTTGTTGAAATCGAATCCCCACAGATTAGCAAAGTGATCTTAGCCAATTACATAACCATTATGTGCTTCCTTTTCTTTGTAAAACAGGAACATGCATCATGGCTACCTCCCGAGGTTATTATGCAGATTAAATGAGTATGTAGGCCATTGCCTGGCACATGCTAAGTGCTATGTAGATAAGTGCTCATCATATAATAAGGGCTCTGTGTTTCTACTCATTGTCCGCATCATTAGCATCATTATTACATGACTCAGCAATTTCCTTGTGTTCATTGTCAAGCAGCTTCATACAGTTTCTCCTCTTTCCTGTTCATTGTGTCTATTTCATCTTCTCTTTCTCCTTTTAGAAGGGGAGTTTGGGCTTGAAATCCCACAAAAGGAGATTTCTAAGAAAGCTTCATTTCAAAAGGATATGGTAGGTGAGTTCACAAGAGATGGTTCATGGTGTTCCATTTTAGAAGAACTGAGGCTGGATACAGACCGTACAAAGAAAGATAAGCAAAATCAAATTCAGCCCATGAGTCACAGTGCTTTCTTCAACAAGAAAACATTGAACACAGAAAGCAATTGTGAATATAAGGACCCTGGGAAAATGATTCACACGAGGCCCCACCTTGCTTCTTCACAGGAACAACCTCAGAAATGTTGCTTATTTACAAAAAGTTTGAAGCTGAACCTAGAAGTGAGTGGTCAGAATGAAAACAATGACACAAAACAGCTTGATGACGTTGTTGGGTCTGGTCAGCTATTCAACCATAGCTCTTCCCACGCTTGTAGCAAGAATATCCATACAGGAGAGACATTTTGCAAAGGTAATCAGTGTAGAAAAGTCTGTGGCCATAAACAGTCACTCACGCAACATCAAATTCATACTCAGAAGAAACCAGATGGATGTTCTGAATGTGGGAGGGACTTCACCCCAAAATCACACCTCTTTGCCCAACAGAGAATTCATAGTGTAGGAAACCTCCATGAATGTGGCAGATGTGGAAAAGCCTTCACGCCACAACTAAAACTCAGTGTATATCTGACAGATCATACAGGTGATATACCCTATATATGCAAGGAATGTGGGAAGGTCTTTATTCAGAGATCAGAATTGGTTACACACCAGAAAACACACACTAGAAAGAAGCCCTATGAATGCCATGACTGTGGAAAAGCCTTTTTCCAGATGTTATCTCTCTTCAGACATCAGAGAACTCACAGTAGAGAAAAACTCTATGAATGCAGTGAATGTGGCAAAGGCTTCTCCCAAAACTCAACCCTCATTATACATCAGAAAATTCATACTGGTGAGAGACAGTATGCATGCAGCGAATGTGGGAAAGCCTTTACCCAGAAGTCAACACTCAGCTTGCACCAGAGAATCCACTCAGGGCAGAAGTCCTATGTGTGTATCGAATGCGGGCAGGCCTTCATCCAGAAGGCACACCTGATTGTCCATCAAAGAAGCCACACGGGAGAAAAACCTTATCAGTGCCACAACTGTGGGAAATCCTTCATTTCCAAGTCACAGCTTGATATACATCATCGAATTCATACAGGGGAGAAACCTTATGAATGCAGTGACTGTGGAAAAACCTTCACCCAAAAGTCACACCTGAATATACACCAGAAAATTCATACTGGAGAAAGACACCATGTATGCGGTGAATGTGGGAAAGCCTTCAACCAGAAGTCAATACTCAGCATGCATCAGAGAATCCACACCGGAGAGAAGCCTTACAAATGCAGTGAATGTGGGAAAGCCTTCACTTCGAAGTCTCAATTCAAAGAGCATCAGCGAATTCACACGGGTGAGAAACCCTATGTGTGCACTGAATGTGGGAAGGCCTTCAACGGCAGGTCGAATTTCCATAAACATCAGGTAACACACACTAGAGAGAGGCCTTTTGTCTGTTCCAAATGTGGGAAGGCTTTTGTCCAGAAATCAGAGTTGATTACCCATCAAAGAACTCACATGGGAGAGAAACCTTATGAATGCCTCGACTGTGGGAAATCGTTCAGTAAGAAACCACAACTCAAGGTGCATCAGCGAATTCACACGGGAGAAAGACCTTATGTGTGTTCTGAATGTGGAAAGGCCTTCAACAACAGGTCAAACTTCAATAAACACCAAACAACTCATACCAGAGACAAATCTTACAAATGCAGTTATTCTGTGAAAGGCTTTACCAAGCAATGAAATCCTAGTGCATCAGCATATTCATAAATGAAATATACTCCCTGAGTTTCTTGAAGAAGGGAAAATCTCAGAATCAGGTCTAATTGTATGTTATTGAATTCATGCTTCAATAAACTCTAGGGATGCACTGCATGAAGGGGGCCGGCCCCTCCACACCTGTGGGTATTTCTCATCAGATGGGATGAGAGACTGAGAAAAGAAATAAGACACAGAGACAAAGTATAGAGAAAGAAAAATGGGCCCAGGGGACCGGCGCTCAGCATACGGAGGACCCGCGCCGGCACTAGTCTCTGAGTTCCCTCAGTATTTATTGATCACTACCTCTACCATCTCAGAGATGGGGACGTGGCAGAACTATAGGGTAATGGTGGGGAGAGGGTCAGCAGGAAAACATGTGAGCAAAGATCTCTGTGTGTTATAAATAAATTTAAGGAAAGGTGCTATGCCTTGATGTGCACGTAGGCCAGATTTATATTTGACTTGACACAAACATCTCAGTGCACTGAAGAGCAGTATTGCCGCCAGGATGTCTCACCTCCAGCCATAAGGCAGTTTTCTCCTATCTCAGTAAATAGAACGTATGATCAGGTTTTACACCGAGACATTCCATTCCCAGGGACAGATGCCTTCCTCTTTTACTAATTCTCCTCAGCACAGACCCTTTACGGGTGTCGTGCTGGGGGACGGGCAGGTCCTTCCCTTCCCACGAGGCCATATCTCAGGCTATCACATGGGGAGAAACCTTGGACAATACCTGACTTTCCTGGGCAGAGGTCCCTGCTGCCTTCCACAGTGCATTGTGTCCCTGGGTACTCAAGGTTAGAGAATGGCGATGAGTTTTACCAAGCATACTGCATTCAAACACACTTTTAACAAAGCTCATCCTGCACAGCCCTAAATCCATTAAACCTTGAGTCAACACAGCACATGTCTCTGCAAGCACAGGGTTGGGGCTAGGATTACAGATTAACAGCATCTCCAGGCAGAAGAATTTCTCTTAGTATAGAACAAAATGGAGTTTCTTATGTCTACTTCTTTCTACATAGACACAGTAACAGTCTGATCTCTCTTTTCCCCACATTGCATGTGTGAACACATGGCAAAGTCATGCTTTATTTTATGTGAAGGCAATTACTGAGAAAAGAGTAAGCAGAAATGTCCTTCTCTTAGTACTGGCCTCATTAAGGATTATAAATTTTCACCCTGGGAAGAAACCCTGACTAATGCATTGAGAAAAGCCTTTCTGTAAAGAATGGTACAAGACAGGTTGTTACCCGATTATTTATAGTAAAGTTTGTGGGAAATTATATCAATGATAACCCTGTTTGTTTTGGGATATATTTCTAAAGTGCCAATACAGTAATGATAGGACAATATTATGTGTATGTGTGTGTGCCTTATGAATATAAGCATATATATTATATGCAGGTTGAATATCCCCCAAAGTGCCTGGGATCAGAAGCATTTTGGATTTCAGATACTTAACAGATTTTGGAATATTTGCATTATATTTATTGGTTGAGCATCCCTAATCTGAAAATCCAAGATGAAATGCTCCAATTAGCATTTCCTTTGAGCGTCATGTTAGAGTTCAAAAAGTTTCCGATTTTGGGTTTTCAGACTAGGGATACCCAACCTGTATGTACATATATTTAGGTATGTATATATATGCATATGCAGACATATGTATATGGTCTGGTAGGCATATGTGTATGTATGCGTATGTAGGTATGTATGCCCTCAGTGCAGTGGGGTTTGCTGCAGAATTCACTGCACAGCAGGAGGTGTAGGTAGATTACAGTTATTTTTTAAGAGAATCTAATGTAATTGTTTTTATAAAAATTATTCCCTGTTGAATATGTCATGAGGTTGTATCAACAATTATTAACTCCTTTATTATACATACACATGAATGTACATTTTTAGTAAATGCATAAATGAGATTCTATAGTGTTTACTGATCTTTATATTATAGCTTTTCTGTTTTTAGGATTAGCTCAGCTTGCCCCTCCCTTTCCATCTCCACCATCTATAGTGAGCCTCTCCATAATCAGTGCCAACCATTAGTCTGGTTCAAGTCTCTGCACAGATAATCAGTGCCATCCATTAGTCTCGTTCATATATTTACACAGGCCCCTAAACATACACACCAGGAGTCAACAAACTGTGGCTATTGGCCAAATATGGCCTCCCAGCTGTTTTTTTAAAATAAAGTTTTATTATAACACAGCCATGTTCATTTGGACATGTATTGTCTGGGCTTCTTTCATGCTCCACTGGCAGAGTTGAGTAGTTTTGGCAGAGAGCAAATGGCCCCCAAGCTGGAAACTGAAAATATTTACTCTCTGGCTCTTTACAGAAAATGTTTGCCAACACATGACATACACACAAACACACACACATTACTATGCTCATAATCATATACCTGTGTAAGGACCCTTTCGTTGATTTATAAAACTCAGATCTCTTACAAGTGTGGATGGTATTTTTTTCATTCTACAATCCATGATGGGTTGCACACACATGTATTCTATGAGGTTGACCTGTCATAATTTATTGAGCCATTCCCACAGTTTTGATTGCTTATTTCCCCCCTACACACGTTTTTTGCTAAAAAAGGGAGAGGGGACTGTTATAAATACTTCTGAGACGCAGACCAGCATAATCTTTTAAGTGCACAGGCCCAGGAGCCAGGTTCCTGCATTTGATTCCTGGCTCCACTCTCTACCCTCTGCATCTGCTGAGCAAGTTATTTGGTATCATCTATTCTGGTTTTCTCAACTACAAAAGGGAGATTATGATAGTACCCTATCCCCATGCATTTGGTGTGAGAAGTGGGTATGTGTTAAACCGTTGGAACTGCATGGACAGACCAAGTATCCCTGAGCCTGCCTGGCTCCCTTGTGCTGGGTGTGGGACTGTGGTGGGAGATTTCAGTCAGCTGGAAGTCTTTTCCAGAAGGGTGTTAGAGATGGGCACCCATGGCTTTAGTCTCCATACTCATACATACAGAGCATGGCCTCCCTCTGTCCTTAAGAGTCTCTGACCCCTCCCCTCACAACCTCTCTGAATAGTCAATAATATTTACCTTCTGATCAGGGCTGTAACATGGGTGGTCTCCCTGGAAGTTGTTACAACTGGTCCTTAATAGACACCCTCACCCCTTTGGATAGCACACAATCCTATTCTGGGTATAACCTGTTTGCTACTCCCTCTCTTCCCCCTGAAATGAGCTTAAGTTCCTATTCTTCTTGGTGCATAATGGGTGCACTCCAGGAAGACTTCCTGGAGGCAGTGGCCTTCTTAAGCCAGAACCCGTTTATAACCCATGTATATAGCAGCAGCCTGCGCACAGCTGCCCCTGGTCTATTCAGGCAGGGGTGCTATCTAGGGAACTCCTCAAAGAACTCCTCACGTGTAACCCGCCTCCTCTCCCGGTCCCGGAGAAGCTGACCCTTCCTGCAATGCCCGCCCCGTCATGTACCTCCTGCCACGCGGCACACGCAGCCCTCCTCGGGACGAGCGCTGTGCAGTGCCTCCTTCTGCGCCGCCTTCGAGGCCGAGGTGCTGCACACGGTGCTTGCAGGCCGCCTGCTGCCGCCCGCCGCGGTGGTGGCCGTGGGCGCCTCGTACGGCAAGGACTCCACAGTGGTGGCGCACGTGCTGCGCGCTGGCGCCGCGCCTGGGCATCTCACTGCAGCTCGTGGCCTTCGACGAGGGCATCGGCGGCTACCGGGAAGCGGCGCTGGCGGCCGTGCGGCGCGCTGGGAGCTGTGGCTCACCGTTGTGGCCTACGAAGACCTCTTCGGGGCTGGACGGTGGACCCCGTAGTCCGCAGCACAACCAACTCCAGCCGCAGCCGCTCCTGCTGCACCTTCTGTGGGGTGCTGCAGCGCTGGGCGCTGGAGGAAGGGGCGCGCCTTCCTCACACACTCACCGGTGAGAACAAGGGCGGCCGCAGTTCTGCGTGATAGAGGGAGTGGGGAGCATGCGCAGGCAATGGGCGGTTCCTGAAAGGGGACTGGGGCGCATGCTCCAGAAGTGGGCGCGGAGACCCTGGGAGCGGCTTAGCAGGAGGATCCCAGTAAGGCGCTGGGGAAATACACGTGTGCCTATTTGGGGCCGGAGCCTGCTGAAGGCTCATGTGGGTAGTACGTGTGCCTCCCTAGGATGGAGTAAGGCAGGTTTTTCAAGCCTCTGGGTCTCTGCCATCATCTTAGTACACACATTGGCAAATAGAGGGGTAGAGGGGCTACCCTGTAGGAGCTAAGGCTGGAGTACTCTGCTATTATTATTATTGTTATTATTTTGAGATAGAGTCTCGCTCTGTTGCCCAGGCTGGAGTGCAGTGGTGCAATCTAGGCTCACTGCAACCTAGCCTCCCCCCGGATTCAAGCGATTCTCCTGCCTCAGTCTCCTAAGTAGCTGGGATTACGGGCGCCTGCCACTACGCCTGGGTAATTTTTGTATTTTTAGTAGAGGGAAATGACTTTCTTTGTATCTCCCTTTACAAAGAGAGAGATGTGAAGAGGCGTCTCCCATCATAAGGCATACAGTCCGAAACGCTACGGTGTCTCTTAACTCCTTTTCTTTATAGGTTTCTCTCCGACAACTCTTATTTTTTCCCAATGATTAATAAGTAATTATCGTCCATTGACTAAATACCAGATACAAGCTGTGTAGCCTAGAGCAGATTACCTAACCTCCATTTCATCTTTTTTAAAATGGGGATGTTAATAATATCTGGGTCCTTGAGTTGGAAAGTACTTGAGTTATATATAAGGCACTTAGACTAGAGGCTGAAAAACAGTAAACATGATGTAAATGTTTGCTGTTATGACAATGCACAAGAGCACAATACAATCTGTACTCCTGCCTGATTTTCACGTATGTAATTATAACCTGACAAGTGCTACTACGGAAAATTACACAGAACATGTGAATTTATATCAGGGGATCCTAGTGACGGGGAAAAGGTGGGGATTAAAGAAACCCTTCCTGAGTGAACTGAGACCCGAAGGCTCAGTGAATAACCAGGAGAAGGATGAGTTGGAGTTTGGGGGAGCGGTGTTCTGAGCTGAGGACACAGAGAGGCAAAGGCCTTGAGAAGGGGAAGTATGACCAACTTGAGAAGCCCTAAGAAGAACAGCAAGCATTTTAATATACAGAGTCAAGTATAACATGACAAGATGCAGAATAAACATGGTTTCCATTTACATTGTATGGCGACTGGTGTGTTTGTATGCACTAACTTTCTGGTCTTTCTAAACCTCGTGATCTGTATTCCCAGAGGCACTTGTGTCTACAGCTCTCTTGAGAATCCCCATTAGATGGTCCTTTTTTCTCCTGTGTTGTCTGAAATACAGTTTTAAGTGAGGTTGAAATGGTTTGCAGCTTAAAGCATTTTTACCCGCTATGTGGAAGGAGAGCTGGCCAAGGGCCTGGTGTACAGTAGGTGGATGGCAAATGAGGGCTCCCCCAAGGAACTTGTTTGTGTTCCCTTCAGGTTTTCTGTCCACCTCCAGTCTCCATCTGGCTGCTCCGTGGTGCCCGGGAGTCTCCATGGTCCAGTTTCCCCATCAGTGTCTCTTCCCCCTCCCCCTGCCCCTCTCTGTCTTGGGTCCTGGCGGCCCCGCTGTACCCTGGGTTTCTATGTTCCGCGCTCCTCTCCCCGTCTCTCTCCGGGTCCTGGCGGCCCCACTGTGCCCTGGGTCTCCGCTCCCCGTCTCTCTCTGGGTCCTGGTTGCCCACAGCGCCCCAGGAGTCTCCATGGCTCTGTCTCCCCCTCCCTGTCTCTGGATCCTGGCTGTTGCACGTTGTTCGCGGGTCTCCATGGCTCGCTCTCCCCCTCCCCGTCTCTCTCTGGGTCCTGGTTGCCCACAGTGCCCCAGGGGTCTCCATGGCTCTCTCTCTCCCACTCCCTGTCTCTGGATCCTGGCTGTCGCACGTTGTTCGGGGGTCTGTCTCCATGGCTTGCTCTCCCTCTCGCCGTCTCTCTCTGGGTCCTGGCGGCCACACTGTGCCCTGGGTCTCCGTGGGTCTCTCCTCCCAGTCTCTCTCTGGGTCCTCGTGGACCCTTGGTTCCCCGGGGGGCTCCCTGGCCAGCAGCGCCCTCCGCGCGCCACCTCACCCGCTCCCGTCTCTCCCCAGCAGGTCACAACGCCGACGACATGGCGGAGACCTTGCTCATGAATTTCCTGAGAGGCGACGCGGGGCGGCTGGCCCGGGGCGGGGGCCTGGGCTCCCCGGACTAGCGGGACGCCCTGCCGCGCTGCCGCCCGCTGCAGTTCGCCTCGCAGAAGGAGGTGGTGCTGTACGCGCACTTCCGCCGCCTCGACTACTTCTGCGAGGAGTGCGTCTACGCGCCCGAGGCCTTCCGCGGCCACTCCCGGGACCCGCTCAAGCGCCTGGAGGCGGCGCGGCGGTCGGCGGTGCTGGACCTCGTGCACTCGGCCGAGCGCCTGGCGCTGGCCCCGGCCGCACGGACCCCGCGCCCCGGCGCCTGCTCCCGCTGTGGGGCCCTGGCCAGTCGCACGCTCTGCCAGGCCTGCGCGCTCCCGGCCATCGGCAAGGGCCGCCGGGGGCTGGACGAGGAGGCGACGCCGGGGACACCCGGGGATCCGGCCCGGGCCCCCACCTCCGAGACTGTCCCCACCTTCTAGCGACTCCAGGCCTCCCGCCGGGATCCGACGCCCCCGAGTGGGGGCTGCCTGTAAATGACACTGAATAAACCCCGTTACCTTACCGGGCCTTCCATGTGAGGTGGGAGGGGGATGGGGGCCTAGTAACCTGAAACCCTGAAGAAGCTGGGACCCCAGACTTCGGGGTTTCAGGGAGGAAGGGTCTTGAGCTGGGCTTCTGGCTCTGAGGGAGGAGGGGGCTGGGGGACCATCCTGGGTCTGAGAGAGGAAAGGGCCAGGACTAGGGCTAGAGGAAGTGGCACTGGAGACCCCAGGTATCTGTGGCTGAAGAAGGAGGGCCTGGGGTCGTGGACTCCTGGGTCTCAGGGAGGAGGGGGCTGAACACTTTGTGATTCCTGAGCGAGTGGGGGTTGGTTGGGGACCTCCTGCCCAGTGCCTCTGCTGGTTCTGGGTGCGCTCAGCATGGTCCTGACCCTCCTTGAGCACCAATTCCTGATGTTTCCTGTTTGCCCGCAGTGGGGTAAGCAGAGTGACATTACCTGATGGACACACACCATTCACAGCCCCCGTCACGATGCCTCCCTTCCA